TCCATTGACAATCGAATAGCATTCGGAACGCGAACAAAATTGTGTTCGAAACTTGAACACGCGTTATAGAGACGCGGCACACGTTCGCCACAGACGCCCTTTACCGTCATTTGAAGGATGCCCTCTAGAACATGGTAGTACTATTCGTGATCAATGACATAATGTGGTAACTCCAAGAGTTACTCTTTTTTAGTGTAAGTGTTTTTAGTGTAATATAGTAGTAGGCCTATACAGAATATGGTATCTGGATTTTTATGAAAAATCCAGATACCATAATACACACATCTGCATATTGAAGAACGTAAGATAAAATAAAAATTTAAAAAAAAAACTCCCGCTGGGAGCCTATTTTTGGTCTTCCTCTGGTACCAAAAACTCGCACCTTGTATCACTTGCCAAAAGAACAGGATTTCCCACCTTTGAAGGAAAGTCGGGATACAGTTAGTTTAGGCAATAGTAGGCATAATATACAAATAAAGAAAAAAAATAATAATTTAGTATTCATATAGCAATGACATTGACAAGTGGCAACATTCAGATCAAAGATTGAACTATTAATGCTGATTGCTATGAATTTGTATTGAGTCGAGAGCAATATATTACGAGTAAAGATGATACATTTCAGACAAGAAAGATATATATTTTTCCATACTAGTAATTTCATAAATTTACCTTGCCAGTGTTTAGTATCAAGACCTCGACATTTTAGATAACTGTCTTGTAATCCCATATATACTAAAGTATACAGTAGGCTTACAGCAAAGCTTAAAATGATACTTCAATTAGAATTATTATAGATATTGCTTTTAGAAATGTTTCATAAAAATATTTGATGTCAATTTGAATCCCCACATGATGGCGTGTATTTCAATACTTCGAGTATGTATTATACTTTCTTATCTGAGATTAATCAGTGGACCTTTCAGTTATATGTATACAAAGTATTGCATTTTACTTGCTTAACACAGGTAGTTTTTTTGTTCTTTATATGTACATTATATTTTCAATACTAATTTGAAGGTCAGCTGTGTTTGACTGTCACGTTTTGCCTTTTCTCAGAAATCTCGGCTGGTCTGTCTATTTTATTTCATACTTGTATGCCAACCATTGTTTAACTTTATTTAAGTACTTATTTGTTTGGCAGTTATCCACTCACGGATTTCTCCTCAATTTTTTTTACTACATTATTTATAACAATGCTCCATATTATTATTTTTATTGACATTGCTGTATAAATACAGATTTCCTGCTATGAATCGTACAGAAATTTTCTTAGATCACCACCTGTCTGCAATTGTCATTCTTTTTGTTGTTTGTAGTATGAAGCAAATTGTTTAATGTAGGTCAGTGTATTTATAATGTAAAACCATAGAAGCCCTTTGCTTCTGTTTTTTTTTTTTTTTTTTTTTTTTTTTTTTGCGCCCCTTTGGGTAGGCTTCTTTTCGAGATTGGCTTCTTTTCAAAGGGCGGCTTTTTATTAATGGGCTTCATCTCAAGATAAGGCCTATTGGGCTTCTATTAGAGGATTTATGTTACTTTTAAATCCTGGGGTCCTTGGTTCAAATCCTGTATTTACCATAATTTGTTCATATAACTTAAATACAATCAATTTCACTACTGCAAACATCCATTCAAATTTTTTTTTATCATTGAGGTTACTGTATTATCCTTTAATTTGTTGATATAATACATATATAGATCATCAGTTTGGTAATATAGATTTTGATCATGAAACAATAGTTATACATGTGAATCAAAAGGCAAATTTTTACTCAAAGGCAATTTTCAAAGATTTTTTTTGTGTCAAAAATTCAGCTGAGCAAAGCATACCATATGGTTTTGCCAGGAGAATATGGTTTTGCCAGGAGAATTACTGATATGTGAAATTGTATGTAGAGTAGGATGGGGGAGGGGTGGTGGGCTTACACCTAAGTGGGCTTATACTGTACCCAAAGGAACTGCAGTAATGGTATCAGTAAACCCATTAAAGTGGAGTAGGTAGTACCTTGCTATACCAACCATGCTTACTTTCAAATTATGTTTACAACGCATCATGTATTTTATCGTGTTAAACTATTTTACTTACCTTTGACAAACAATTCATTTTTGTTCATGCCATTTACAAGCCAAGGCCGATGTGAATGAAGATCCATCGTGTTATTAAATGGTTTTATTATTATGAAATGTGTGGGACTGCACAACTATTCTTCTAATTAAACCGCTTTGACGTAGGTAAATTGTAAAAATTTGTGTTTTCCTATAGGATTATTGATAATCAAAAGGATAGGATTCACACCCACAAGAAAACAGGCTTCCCACTCGGTATATTGACCTTCCCCAGGTGACAAAGAAAGTAGGTCAGTCTAATTGGAGAGATTCTCCCTGGGGACTTCTGAAGTCCCAAGAAAGAAACCTGTTCCAAGCTTCTCTATTCTGTAGTCACAGCTCAATATGATGTGTCACTGTATTTTAATATATTTATAGCTGTATGAACATTGGTGGCATATGGGGGTAGGGAGTGGAATGTTTTGCTGTCCGACCGGGTATCGAACAATTTCTAACAGAGACTAGTAGGGCTTAGGGCAAGTCTCTGGTGGGGGTCCAGGGGTTAAACCTTTGTGATTTTTCGCCGTGTTAAGCTCGCCTGATTGCTGATCTCATCTAGGCATTGACATCTGCCTTTACTTTGCTCTGTTGAACTTGGGATAATTCTACAATTGTGTAGGGTTCAGAAGCTGGGTATTGACCTTATGCTGTAATCAGTTGGCATATTCTTTTAGTAATATCTTGGGATGTGGATCTTTTAGTTTTGTAAGTACTATTCATAAACTTGGCATATTGCCTGGTATAACTAGTAAGCAATATTACTGTAGTATGAATGGATGGATGGATTTATTCGGTATAAACACCAAGGATAGCCCACAAAATTCTGAAGAAGACTTATTTTCTTCTGGTAGTAATTATGCAGTACACCAGGAGACAATTCCCTACTCTTTTTTAAAGAGTGTACTGCGCTCTTTAAAGTGCACAAGGGACTAACAGCTTAAACATCTCATCTGAAAGACAGTGCGCTATTGTAACTTGTATTTCAGCCCTCCAGCTGAAACACAAGGAGAGGCAGCGATGGGAATTGAACCGGGGACCAAGAGATCTCCACTGTTCAGTGCACATACAGTGGCTACCACTAGATTAGCTGACTGAAGTACAGTATTAAGCTGCTCCCTCATACTTTAGTGTATCACTTAAGTGTGTCGTGAGAAGGTTGGTGGGTGTGTTTTTATGTATGGCAAGTACAACCTGAGCCAAATAAAGTGCCTTTAATAGTGGCTTAATGCTGAAAAGGATATTAAAAAATAGCTCATGATTATAGTGTATATATTTTATGGAAAGAATTTATATAAAACAATCGTGTAGTTGCAATGTTTTTAAAATATGGTAGAGGTATGTATTTCAGCCCTCTAAATGCAAGACAAAGAGAGCAGTAATTAAATTAACTTTTAATAAAACTTAATGCACATGTATGTTTACGTACGCTTATGCAATAGATTTGTTAAGCCTTAGTTCAACAATACCCAAAGGTCAAGGCTTAGCGGTCCATCAAATCAGTTCCACGGTTTAGCGAACACATAGTTGTTAGCATCTACTCTGTGTATTGCCTATTAGTGTACATTACTATATCTCAAAAAGTACTACTACGTTCTAGAGGGTGTCCTTCAAAATATCATTAAAGGCGTTCATATTGAATGCATGCTACATCTCTATAACGCACGTTTGCGTGTCAAACGCAAGTTTGTTGAGTTTTGAACTCCATTCGTTTTCCAATAGGGCGCCCCCTACCTCGTGGTAGTAGTACCCATCATGCACTTCCACTGCATTTATTCGCGCCTACAGGGTTAACTGCCAGACGATAACATGTGTCTATGTAGACAAAAAATATATTTATACTTACTTCGGTTTTCACAGCATCTTTTCAGCACATCAGTGTAAATGCTTTTTGTCACGTAAGTTTCATGTACAGCTTTGAGACACAGATGTGAAGGTCATCTCAATTGTCACTTTCTTGACATGGTGTTGCACTTTAAATGGTACTCAAATAAATTATTGATTGATCAATTTATTGATTAACATCGATCAATCCATCAATCGATTGTTGATAATATACTATTGTTCTTTATTTGTATTTAAACTCATGCATGCTGTTATTCAAATTTCAAAATCTTGCCATATTTTCTACTTTATACATTTTAATGAACAAATGGGAATATATTTTTAGCAGGTTTTCATTTTTATTATATAACTTTTTAGTGGTAGATGTTATGCTATGAATTTAACAAAATAGAAAATATTATATTTGTTTTGGTATTTCAACACTCCAACATTAAAAGTATTTTCACATATTTCAAAATTCATTTCACATATTCTATGGTATAACAATATTGTTGTATATTTATGCAGCAGATATAATAATTATTATTAGTATGTGCTCATATTTATTTAAAAATATTTTTTGTACCACATGTAAACATAAAATTTCTTTATATCCAACAATGGGGTGTGGAGAATTACTGTAGATTGGTGGTTAAGATGCTTTACATCCTTCCAATCCTAGGGTCCTAGCAGTGGCAAATCTAAAAGTCTTTAAATGGAGGTGCTGATTGGGCTGGGGGGGTGCGAAGGTGAAAGGGGGGGTACTCGACGATCAGTTAAGGGGTGCTGACTCACAAAATATGGTGATTTTAGGTGATTTTTATCTACTTGCAAGTGATTTTATAGGGGGTGATTGTGGGGCGCGAGTAATTTTAGAGGGGATGCCCCCCTAACCCTAACCCCCCCTTCTCACATCATTGGCTCTCGTCAATCCCCTACCATGTCAGTACTCTTTATACCACTGTTTAATGCATTATAGATAAATCATCTTTATTAAATTGGGTGCAAGAAACGTGTAAAAATATTCTAATAAAAAATTTTAACCAGTTCTATTTTCTTTTTGTTTTAGATGATTTATACTCAGAAAATCCGATGCCAGCAAAAAGAGAAATTTGCCACTTGCCTTGCGACTGTAAAGTATCTTCGTGGAAGCCTTTTGGTAATTGCTCCAAGCCTTGTTACACCGTAGGATCCAACAACACTGGAGTAATGACGAGGACGCGTGAAATCACTGAATATCCAAAATTTGGTGGCGAGAGTTGTCCACATATGGTAGAACAGAAGGCGTGTGATCGTTCACAGCTTGAGCTGTGTCCATCGTTTACATGGCGTGTCCTTGACTGGCAAACGTGTAGACTTCTTGATGAACGCAGTATTTGTGGCCCAGGTGTTAGTCAAAGACAGATGTACTGCATTAATGCAAATGACCCGGAAATGAGACCAGTAAATGATTACTATTGCACAGGTAATGAGACCAGTAAATGATTGTTGTTATATAACTTTTTCAGTTCCTTAAAGTATCATTCTCACAAAACCAATATGCAACTATTTGAAACGTACAAGACCCCACTCCCCATCCCTTAAAATATTGATAAAATGAATTGCTCCAGATCTTTGAACTCTGCAGCTGTAATTCATTATAAACATTATGGACCTTGAATTTCAGATAGCAAACCGACCAACAGACTTGCTTGCGAAGTGAATTGTCCAATTGATTGTGAACTTGGTCAATGGGAGAACTGGTCACCGTGTTCAAAGAGCTGTGGCAGCGGTGGTTACCATCTACGAAGACGCAAGGTGCTGCGAGCACCTGCTTATGGAGGTGTGCAGTGTGAGGCTACTGAGGACTTTAAGGAATGCCAATTTGTTAACTGCTCATGGTGGCATACTGGTGAGTGGATCTTCGAGCATAGAAATTTATCAATCGACATCTTGGTTGGGTTCGAATTATTTGTTGTGAATACAAAGGATAATCCACAGAAGTCCGAAGACTTATTTTTCAGCATGTTCATTCAGATAGTGATTGGCCCTGCAGTGTATGCTTTTTGGTAGCTCTTTAAGAAAGAAATATTTCAATCAAATTCAACGATATATAATTGCCTTGTAGGTGCATGGACAAGTTGCTTTCCCACAACTGGAATATTTAGTGACTGTGGCGCTGGAATTCAATCTCGCAATGTCTACTGTAAAAGCGCCATCAACGAAGTCCTTCCAAGCACCAACTGTAGTGGAATGGTGAAACCAGGGCGGAGGCAGTCGTGTAGCATCCCTTGTCCTGATGAATGTGCGATCTCTGAATGGTCTGAGTGGAGTCCTTGCACAGAAACTTGTGGTCCTGTTGGTGGAAGACAAATGAGAACCAGAGAAATTTTATGTAAGATGTGGATAAAAAAACACAATATTATTGTGGTGCTTAATCCATAATACTAAATTATACTGAAATATGTAACATAATGTGTAAATAACGACTGTTCCAAATTGAAAAGACATAAAGCAGTTGGTACATCAGTTGTTACTTGGTCTCCCAAATTTGAGGTCAGTGGTTTTAAACTCTCAATGTGCAAGTCTCTTGAGGCAAGACACTTTATGTACAGTATGTTTGTCTCTCTCTACCCAGGAGTAGGCTATAAGTTAAACCCTGGTAGGATGTTGTGGCATTGATTATACTAGTTTTGTGCGCCGAGTACATGCAAATGATTATGTATATTCCTCGGGGAGCAGAGAAGGTTGCACTTTGTGCTGGTTTGCCATATGCTATCCAGTGACCGGAGTAATAACGCTCAGCACCTTTAATCATTGATTTAGATTTGGTGCTACAGTATATAAATCTTGGGCATTAGTATTAAAAACTCAATAAGTATATGATAGAAATTTAAAATAAATATTTTTTTCCTCTTAGCTCCATCAAATTCGACTGCTGAACCGTGTCATCCAGAGGAGGAGCTACAGCAAACACGAGTGTGTGCCCACTGGGACAATTGTAATAGCTACCATTGGCAAGTTTATCCATGGGAAACATGTGTATCTAATGTTCGGGGGACTTGTGGACACACGGATGGAACACAGATTCGTAAAGTGCTCTGTGAGATGGAATCTGGTAATTTTTATTTTAAATATTTTATTCATTTCTTTTATAATCATCAGTTTATTATTATTATTTTGTGCTATACATGAGACTAAAAAAATGAACCTAAAACTGGGCACGGCGGTCGTGCAACGGATCGCTTTTAATGACAATTCGTTCACAATGCAACGGACAATCAGCAGGCAGCATTGCGCCGTCTAGCACTCATTGGGAGCAAAGTTTGATTTGTCGTATGATGCAGTTAGTGCCCATTGTAATAGAACCAAGGACTTATAACTGTTACCAGGATAGGAAGCTGGCTGGTTTAAGCCGTCTAACTTGAATTAGCCTTATATGCGGTATTGTTATGCAAATGAGCCAGATAAGCACAATCTGCACATGCTCAGAAAAACTAAACTTTCCTTAGTCACTGCAGCCCGCACTGCGTATCGGCTTGACGTACAGCTAGGCCTAGCCGAGAATATAACTGTTACCAGGATAGAAAGGATTTTTGCTGAGATTAGCTGAATATGCTGTATATAAGAAATTGGTAATAGACGAATTAAAGTGGATGAAAATAAGGCACAAATTACAATTATAAATTCATTTATTATATATTAATAATAATAATAATAATAGTAAATAATAATAACATTTATATAGCGCTTTTCCCAAAAATGATCAAACCGCTGATTTCATCTTTCAATTTCAGACTTCCAAAAATCTTCATACACTGCTTTTATACCGCTTTATGTAAAGTTTTATATATGACATTTATACAGGTAATCAGTGTCATGCCGTTAAAAACAAGGTGTTTTCGAGCCATATATGGTTGGCGAGCTACACATACTGTATGTTTTTTAATTCATTTTCGCAGGACACAAAAAAACCACTGTAAAATAATTTCTATAGGCTTTCTATACACAAATGTGCTTTTTTTAGATGAATAAATAATCTGTATTTACAATTATATTTTTGCAAAATTTTGAATGCAAAATAAACTTCAAAGTCAAACTTGGAAAGCAATTTGATTTTATACAGGTAGGTCACTCTTGCCCTGTTTGTAGACTATATTTATGCTTTCAATTTTATCACTAGTATTATATTGATTCAATAAAATTATGTCCTTCGTGTTTTAATAGACTATAAATACTTTACAGATAATTTTAGTACTTTTTAATATGTTTTGTATAAAAACAAAATGATATGGAGTATTGTAATACAAATGAAAGCAATATATGGAGTTGGTTAATGCAAAAAGAATGCATTATATATTATTATATGGTTTTATTTAAGCAAAAGCATTCACTATAATTGAGATTATTATTAATATTATTATTATTAGTACTATTAGTATTATTATATTATTATTATTATTCAATCCACTCAGCAAAAGGTTTATCAATTGATATATGGATAGCCCTAGATATGACAGAATGTCATTGCCTTTTTTTTTCTGTGGTGTTATTACTTTATAAATATGGCTGAACAAGAATAGTTTCCATCCTTAGCTCCCCATGACGACTCATTGTGCGATGTATCATTGAAACCGAATGTCTCCCGTCCATGTAATGTGATCTGCCCGATAGACTGTGAACTGAGTATGTGGAGTGAATGGTCTCAGTGCAGTGTGCTGTGTGGAAGCGGCACACGATACAAGACCCGACGTATAAACACACTTCCGCATTTTGGTGGCGCTGCATGCCCTGATGGATCTGATGAGAATGGTAATTATAAAATAAAATATTTATCATAATAATTGTTCTCGATTATTGTTCTAGTAGACCATTGTTTTTATGCGCATTCCAGCAATGTAATCTAAGCTTATCTAATCTGGTCGTTGATATAATGCCTTTCTTTATAGATACAAAGTGCTGTATATTTTTCCCTGGTCATTTGGTCCACATGCTTATGTGTTGCTGCCATCTTGGCTCAGGAGCAGGCAACCCCACCAGGTACCATTTATACTCCTGGGTGGAGTGAAGCAGCAACATAGATAAAGTGCCTTGCTCAAGGACACAAGTGAAATGCACAGCGAGGGATTAAAACCCTGACCTCGAGGTTGGGAAACCAAACCGTTCCCACTGCACCAACCTGCTTCCACAAACAATAGTGTATTTTAAGCCTGATTACCATCATAATATAATAAACTACTACAGCAATATAAAAGATCATAAACACCTAATAACATATGAAAATGAACATAACAAAATAATAAATATTTGAACAACAGGCAAAATTGATTTTTTTTTTACTGAAACAGATGGCAAGGTGTTTGATGATGAAACAAGTTATAGATTGATAAAGCAAAATAACTATAGCACAAATGTCTAACCAAAGATTCAGTCGAATCACCAATATTTTAGTAGTAATATAGAAACTAGGTCCAGGCAGTATCAAGATTTTACCTAATTTTGTTGCTTTGAGTGTGATATGAAAAACTACAGTAGGCCTGCCACCTTGACCACCGTACCAGAACTTGCCCACTATAAGCTGTGATGGATTTAAAAGGCAGGTGTTGCCTATTAGCCTGAGAATGCACTTAAAACTGCCCTCTTTTGAGTAGCGATATGTGAAACTAGGTCTAGGCTACCTTAGATGCAACAAACCAGATAATTAACTGAACTTCAAGTGATACAAATTATCTCAGGCCACAGCTATATTGTATTGTGCTTTCAAGAAAATAGATTTGACATTATTACACAAATTTTCAGAGACCATTAATCTACAACACCACAAATGACTTGCCATATGTATCTATGGCAACCGGGCTTTATTTTGTGAAATTAAAATGGGTTCAAATTCAGACTACGTCGAATGTTGGCTCCATAATGCATATTGTCTCAAATTTATTTTCAACTGCTCAATATATAGTTTTTGTTGCTTCCTTTTGATAATGGAGAGAATCTAAATTTTGTTATCATAATTTCAATTCCCATCTATAATAATAGGCTGTAAATATCTACACATATCCTAAGACATTGACTCCTGGATCATACCTTATATTATATTTGTACTATTAGATAATGTAAGGAGATATTTCTCTCTGTGCAGTACATGCTAATGGTAATCGGGATACACTTATTGATAATAATACATGGCATTTGTAGAAAACTATTTTGCAAAATGTGCAAAATATGTTATATCATTTCTGTGCGCTGAAAAACAAAACCCAGGTGGAAATTAAAATAAAGGGTTAATAAAATAGTTATGATTAGAAAATTAAATAATAAAAGCTCATTGGATTTGAACTCAGACTAATCACTTTAGTATAGACAATCGTATTTGCAGATTATAGTACTAATTTAATAATAATCATTGTCATCATCATCATCATCATCATCAGTGCATTGCATCATAGATCAACATAGGTTTTTTTTTACTATTTCCTGCCATTTGGTCTGGATGTATATCAAGTGAAGGCCCCTAACTAGACTGGGCTCCAGTCTGTAATCTTTGTTGTTAAATCGATTTTGGCACCAATGGCATTCCATATTACCTATTTGCTTGGTGTTTCATAGTATAGTTTTTCTTGGATTTTTCTAATTCGCATAAAAGCTTCTCGATATATTCCGTCGCTGGTGGCGCTCTCCAAAATTAGCTAATACTGGGAAAACCTATAATTAGAGATGTGTAGCAAGTCTAGCCCCTAACTAGAATTAATTACCATATTGTGTTCATAAAGGTATCATCACCGCTGTGGAGAACTGTACAGATATTGAGCCCTGCTACAGCTACTCTTGGAACACCAGTGATTGGCGGGATTGCGAGCACATCGGAAGCAGCTGCGGAATAGGATTACAAACCAGAGATGTCACCTGCATTAGAAACGATGGCAGCAAGTTTGATATAGGCAAGTATCAATGCCAATTATCAAATATCTAGATACTCTTTATTGTCATAATAATGTCATGAGGTTGGTCTTCCTTACTACATATGGGTTAAAAATTATAAAAATACATCAAAAGATAAAGTTTAGTTAAGCATGTATCAAACCTGTATATATATATATATATAATGATGTAATCCACATGTGTTCCTTAGATACATAACTCAATGAAAAAGACGCATGCTGAAGAAGACCCGTGGACGTGTTGAAATATTATTATTCATGTTTTGAATAAAATTTGACATCTCATCGTCTTTTTCATTGTCTTCTAATATAATGTGAACTTATATTTCTTAAGTAAAACACTATTGCACAAAGATATTGTTTTCATATTGTAAATTCAGTCATTTCAGTCTTGTACTGCTGAATGTTATTTATGTTCCTATACCGGAATAAAAAAAATAAAATAAAAATTAAGATGACCCACATCATTACTGGCTTGCCTTGACCCACATATTACCTGCTTGCCTTTTTAACAATTTTGTATAGTTTATGACAGGTTTTGCAGGAGAGCTGATTATACCAAATTATAATATTATTATCATATATCATTATTTCATATATTATTAATGATATCAGTCATTTGGCAATTTAATTGTTATTTTATTTTATTAAAATTTTGTGACATAATGGTTTTGGTGGTCACCTTTCAAACCTAAAGTCAGTGGTTCGTAATGTAGCAAAAATATTTCCTCCTCAGGAAACTTTATTTTCAAGCATCAAGGGTGACAAATGATCAAATTTGCTGAATACGTCATCCTCCTAAATATGTTAATTTGTTTATTGTTGAATTAATGATATTTCATAGCAGCTTTATTTTATTGTTTTTTTAAATTTATTTTGAATATTTTTCTTCTGATAAGGTTCATTTTGAAGTGAGTTATAGTAATTGACTAAAGTTAACTAATGACTAATTCCTTTTTGTGTATGTATTGTAATCTTTAATGAAGTGATCTAGTGTTTTATATAATAGGCAATTTACTTATATTCCTATTTTTATCACTATCTCAGTCCTGCTTATAAAACATTATTTCATACTGTATTTGGTGATTCATGTTGAATATGTATTGTTTGATTTTATTTCCTTTGCTGTTTCATAAATGAGCACAAATGTAATTCTACAGATCTGGCTACACTAATTCAAGATGAAATAAATAAACCAAATATTAAAAACCGGTTGTGCATGGCAATTTAAACATAAAAAAAATAATAACTGAAAATTATCTTTTTATCTTCCCTGTATAGGCGTTTGCATGCGAGAATTGCGAGATGTTCCGCCCACTGATAGTCAGCAATGTTTTGTTCCGTGTGCAGGGGATTGTGGCCTGACTGAATGGGGTAATTTTGGACCGTGTCAAAGAAGCTTTTGCAGAGAATATGTAGATGGAGATTACTGTAGGATTAGGAGCAGAGAATTTATTAATGGAGGTAACAACATAAATACTGTAATGTTTTGAAAACACATACACCAATCATGCAAAATCAGTAAACAATTTTTATTTTTGTGCAAAGTGTACCCAACCACCTTATGTACAGAAGTTTATATTCAAAGATATGAGAGGGTACATTCAAAGATAACCCTCTTACTCTGACTCAATGAGAATAGTTTGATGGAATTAAACTAGTGAGCCAGATACCATAGTTTAAGCAATTAAGAACAATTATAACACAGAATTTATATTGCTGACAGTGTTTATTGTGGGACTGTTTAAAGTAGTACATATTGGTAGTTATGTTATTCTTAATGATTTTAGTTTTATTTATTTATATTTTTGGAAATTTAATATATTAGTGAAGATGAAAATAAACGACATTCTATTCTTTCCATTTTATTCTCTACCAGAGGGGATTGCGTACGATTACACAAATGATCAATTTAACCTTTGCCCTCATATCTCTGCTCGTGACTTCCGTGACGCTGAAGCCTGTGAAGGACCTAACTACACTTACATGTGGCAAGAAGGAATTTGGCGAACTTGTATTCCGTCTGGTGACAGTAGGTTCTTGCTTATATTTGTATAGAAAAATCCTGTTAGAAAAGGGTGCTCTCTATTGGTGCCGCCATTGCTGGGGACCTCCTTGGGTCCTTGTGCGTTTTTGTCAGGTCCATGTGCAAAGAATTAAGAGTAGATTACGGTGAAACCAAAATACTGTACATATTATAATTTTGATATTTACATTTTGTAGCAGAAATGCATAAATATTCCCTACCGAATCTCTAGCTATGGTGTCTACAGATAGAGAGATGGATCGGTCTTATTGTGAAAAAGGTTTTTCAATACTTAATGATAATACTATTCTTTGAATGGACATTTCTGGATTGGCTGTCAAACCTAATAACTGACAATTAGAACAAGGCCAGGAATATATATATAAATAATTTATGATTATCATTTATGATACACAGAGGGAAACAATTTATGTGGGGATGGACTCAAACATCGCACAGTTCTATGTCTGCGCAGCGATGGCGTTCATGTACCAGAGTTCCATTGCGATAAAGTCGCTAACGTTCCAGCCAGCTACAAATCATGTACAATCAAGTGCCCACAAGATTGCGAGGTTTCCAATTGGGGCGAGTGGTCTGTTTGTTCACACAATTGTGGGGATGGTAAGATTCGGAATATATAATTATCATGGAGTTTAGTGCTCACTATAAATGCAATGCTATAAACACAGTGCAAGTTTTGTTTAAAATACTATGTATGTAGGTATTTGTACGAATCTATAGAGTACTACAGTGTTACGTCACGATACCATGTGATACTACTCCGTTGCTATCGTTGCAAAAAGCGTTCAACCGGACACCATTTTCCTCACTGACAAACCATTGATCCCAAATTCTAAAGTAATTATTAAGATGATGTATCTTACTTTTTCTTTGTAAATTTTAATTGATGATTAAATGTGTGTTCGATATTATAGTTCAAGCTTCTGTGTTTTTTAAGTACATTTTGATGGTAAAATATTAGATTTTCAAAATGCCTATTCCAGAAAGCCTATGAAGTCATTCAGGCATAATCAACGGTAACAAATGCCTGTTGACAACAGAGTGCGCCACCTGGCGTCGTGACAACACTGCTGTGGTATTCCATGTATATAAATGTGTTAGGCATATGTGTATGTACACTGTGTATATATATATATATATATATATATATATATATATGTATGTATATTAATTATTAGATCATTTTACATAATTGAATATGGTGGAATATTGATTTATATTCTAGCTTAATTTATAAATTACTGCTTTTGATTCAATGATATTATAAATTTTTGTTTAGGAATAAGAAATCATAGTCGAACAATCACGAAACAATCAAAACGAGGAGGGCGATCATGTCCACCATTGACAGAATCACTTGTGTGCACAGTGCGATCATGTGATGATTTCTCCTGGGATGTTTCAGAGGTACACTCTTTTATTTTGGTTACAGGTCATCTTAAATGTGCTGTTATGAGGCAATGAAGAAGTCTTATGAAAATATTGCAACATACTTTATTTATATTTACATCTGGCACTCTATGAATTTTTGATCAATCTAATTTATAGTTGTTTTTATATTTTTTAATGTTATTATATTGTTAGAATTTACAACCGTTACTTTATGATGCAAATCTCAATCTTAAAAATTCATTTGAGGGTCATCCTCTCTCTCTTTCTTTATCTGAAAGTTATTCTTTTCATACAAATTCAAATTTATTTTTTTTATTTATTTTTTTTTTATATTCATTTCAAAGTAATATACAATATGCAAATTTTAAAAATTAATTTTAGTCATAGCCACTCTGTCATTATCTGGAGTTTATTCTGTGTTACAAATTCAAATCTTTTTATTTTATTATTATTATTTTTTTTTATTATTCATTTAAACATATACAATATACAAAAAAACAGTATAGTTAGGTATGTCGAGGGATAGCAAAAGAAGTAAAGAAACCACTGTCGCCAACACCACAATCAAACTTTTTATCCTTTTGTCCTTCAAGAACTATAAATTTTCCTTTCTTTTATCCAACAGTGGAGCACATGCAAGCCAGACAATAGCAATTGTGGGATGGGAACGCAAAGAAGATCAGTGACTTGTAGAGCAGGAGAAGAATATGAAACAGAATGTGAATTACGAGAGCCAAGACCAGACACTAGCATATCCTGCAGTGTACCATGTACTGGTAAGAGCAAGGGTCGTAGGAAAATCAAAACACAAATAAAGTACATAAAAAATCCAGTTCAAATTGAATGTTAAACTGAGGAATGAGAGGAAAGTTTTTAAACACAAAACAAAAACAGCGGTCAAAGTCTCCCGGAAATCAGGGCGACCTTCCCCATCTCCCACAAATTTATAATATTTGCATGTTTTCAATATTTCATCATGTCTTATGGAAGTCAGGGTATGACGGTGTGTGCAGTAATAAATTTAAATGTGTTAACAAAAGTCACTAACCACTGCAGATGAGTGGATGGTCCATGGGGGGGGGGGAGACACAGGTGGCCAGATGCCCTTAATTTTTCTAAATTATAAAAAGAAAATGGGAAAAAAAGAACATAATATTCTAAAATGTCATAATCATGAATATTTGTTTATTTAGGTGATTGCGTGCTGTCAGAGTGGTCTGCTTTCACTCCGTGCCCCATGGTATGCCTTCCGGATTCTGTGAAGACCCGAACCAGAACACTTGTACGTCAGCCTTCACCGCAGGGACTGCCTTGTGGCTCACTGCAGGAAAGTCTGCTTTGCAGTGTGGAAGACTGCATAAAAAAAACATTGACATTGGAAATAGGAAATTGGCAGACTTGTAAACCTCTAAGTGGGGATTGTGGCAAGGGTGAGTTGTTTTTTTTTGTAATCATCATCGTGATCATTATCATCATCATAAACACCATCATTATCATTATCATTGTTATTGTCATCATAATCATTATTGTCATCATCATTGTTGTCCTCATCATCATCATATCTACATTTATAATTTCATCAATTTAGTTGTCATAAATCTTTTTATTGTTACCATCATCATTTTTATCATCATCATCATCTTCTTCTTCATAAGCATCTTCAATAATAATAGTCTTCATAAATTCTTGGATTTTAAACATTCCAATCGTAAATAAACTTTCTAATGCCTCATCCCTGCACATATAGCAAACAAACAAATTCAATTAATATGTCTTTTTGTAGGTACAAGACAAAGAACAATAAGTTGTCATGACAATGCTGGTGTCTACTACGATGTTAAACGATGCGGTGAGTCTGATGTGGCATCAATGGAGGATTGCGAGGTTGAATGTACACAGGATTGTGTTTTAGGACGCTATGGCAGTTGGTCTGATTGCAACGAGCAGTGTGGAATGGATGGGCACAAGTTCAGAGAGCGTGTGATTCTGATGGAGAGTAGAGGACTGGGTAGAAATTGTCCTAAGAACTCTCATTCTCTTGTACAGGTAATGATATAATGATTATAATGAATGCTTGCATAATTGTATATGTATATCCCCACTGAATCTATATCAACAAATTCTTATTCTTATTCTTTATTCGGCAATAAAACATAGTACAAAACAATGTTGGTATACATATACAGAACACAAATACAATAAATTTAATGGGCAGGGAACCAAAAGTGAACTTAATCACTATAACAAAAAGTCTGAACCACACTCATCCAGTTTAACATAACAATACAATATTATAAATAATATAGACCAAATATAATATATAATCAAATAAAATACCTGAAAGCAATTATCTAAGTTTAGTGAAATACAAAAACTAAGAAAAATAATAATAATAAATAGATATATGTAAAATAAATAACAAAATAAATACATAGCAAAATTTGTAATTGATCAGAAACTAAAAAAACTGAAACTATTTTAACTTTAATAGAATACGAGTATGGTGACTCCGAAAAATGACGGACGTGAGGCCATAGTTGATTCTACGTTTTGTTCTTTATTGGAACATTGTCAAGAATGAGAATTGGAATTAAAAAGTATATAAAAATTTATCAATCATAATTACAAAACTTAAGCTGTTTCAACATAATTATGAAAAAGAATGATTTAACAGCAGACAGCTAATAATTTTCAGAAACAACACAACAGATTGTATCTTCAGCATAGGCGACGTCTATATTTTATTTTGTATATTTGAGGCCTTAACGGCCCAACAAGACATGTTTCGGCAGTGCTACTACCATCATCAGTTATCGTATTGCACGCAGGCAATAATTGGTATAGGGGAATAAAAAGGTGCAATGTTTTGCATGCTATTAGAAGTTGTGGAATGATCCGTATAAGTTGAGTTTGTATCTTTTGAACACAGACCATGCCGTGCAATGTTGTTCCATGCTTTGAGTACAAGTTCAAGCGTGGGGAGTGGAGTAGCTGCAGTATCAGCCTGGAAATGAGTTGCGGTTCTGGACTGCGTACAAGATCAATTGAATGTCGAAGAAGTGATGGTCCACTTGGTAGTGAAAGAGATTGTCTGATTGAGTTGCTCTCGAACAGTGAGTAACCTCCTGGCTAGAATGTAGATATGTATGTTTAACATTGGAATTGATCATATGTGTAGCTTCATATGTACGTTCAACTCTTCTCATATGAGGGATTTTTCAATTGCACGATGATGGTAATATCTAGGACGTAATATTGTCAGTTAAACTCATCTGTGCACATGAAGACAAAAAGATCTTACCTTCTAAATTCTAGGATGTGTTTTGTGATCAAAACTATAGCAGGACAGTCATGAACCAGCAACCTGTTCTAAGATTATTTTATTGCGATCCTAAGCTTCCAATTATTATTGATGATTGAAGATGATGATGACAGTGATTAAGATAATAAATAACAACAGTATTATGATTACAATGAAAATACTACTTGTGATTATGACATTTTTTGTGTACTGACCAGATAGTATTGTACCATTTCTGGAAGATACAAGGCACCCATAAACCAATTTTTTAAAATTTACTTCATATTTATTCTTAAACATCCTTCATGCTTTTTTGTCAGATGATCCCTCAGCTATAACAGACATGGAGTTTGAGCTGTCCTCAGCCAATAGGACCCAGCTTGATATCCATACGTCTGAAAACTGCGGACGACCTTGTCCTGGTGACTGTCAGGTAGGATTGACAAAAGTATATGATGATGTTCACAAATGAATGACATTAAATAGTCGTATTTTGTAAAAACAAAGGATTGATTTGAAGTTGTGAGCCATTAAAAATGTAGTAGGTGTTGAGAGTATCATTTAATTTCAATTTATTCAAGAATTAAATCATAAAACAATATCTTAAGTACAAACCAAAAGTAAAGAACAGATATATAATATACAACAGACATTAATTCCTAGGGTTACCCAATCATAAAAAACTTATTTCCATTGGGGCCAAACTGTGATTTCGAGGTTGGCTTTGTCTGCTTATTACAGGTGACGAACTGGAGTTCATTTGGCCCTTGTGTGAGAGATTGCTTTGACGCCAGCTTAACTATCCCACTGAAAGTCCGCACCAGATCTATCATTAAGGAAGCTACAAGAGGGGGCCTCAAGTGCCCTGAGGTTTTGCAAGAGGAAAGGTTGGTCCAAGTATTTACCAGTATTAATGAATACCTTGATATTAATTGAGTGAAAGTATCATGTACCAATGTGCCATTTACCAGCATTTTGAGACTATTCTACAGTAGTTATTGATATAATAAAACTGTATTTATATAGCACCTAATAGATCACAGATCTCTCTAGGCGCTTTACATAAATTTTAAACTATGGTAGAAACTATCCTCCGTTGGAGACCAACCTGGTATTTCTGAGTCTAGGTTTCGGGGCAAGGAATTACTGTAATGATCTAATCAATACCTTCCTCAAATAAGTACCACTCTTGAGTTAGCGCTGCACCAAACATGATTTTTTTTTTTTGCAACACTCTAAAATATGCACTGTGATTGAAGATCTATTTCATATTAATAAACGCCACAGAGCTTAATCGAATGTGTTGATGTGTTCCATATCATTGGGACATTATTAAAGTGATAAAATAATGAGCTGATTGTTCTTTATTTTATTTTACAGAACCTGTCCAGTAATGGAAGCAGTTTGTCCAGTATACACTTGGCATACACGTCCCTGGAATATAGAAACCAAAAAACGTGACGTCTGGTGTGAAGACCAAGGTAAGGTTTTGAAACAGTGTTAAATTTATAATGCAAACAAAATGAAAAATCTTATTCTTAAATTCTCTGCATGACTGCAGTGACCAAAACTTGCACATACTGTATACAACTGTATTTTTTGAATTGTAGATGGAAGGATTGTGACAGGGGGATGTATGGAGAAGTTCAAGCCAATATCTGCGATGGAATGCTCCGATGCTTGTGAAGCACCATTTACAGAATGCGTTGATGGACAGTGTAATTGCCTAGATGGTTTCCAAAGTAAGTTGAACCAAAATTTGATCTGTTGTAAAAATAGAAGGTGAGTTTTGTAAAAGAGAAATTTTAGGGGGAAACTTTGTACTTTCAGAATGTGAGTTTGTAATAGGCAAATTTTTAAGAGGTGGTTGCTAGGGCGACTATGTATGTTAAGGCGGTGAGTTTGTAATTGGCAAGTTTGTAAGGGTGATTGATAGGGTGACTTATCTCGTCCTGTTCCTAATATTCATGATTCGTATCTAAATTTAAAATATTTATTCTTAGTACTAGCAATCATTACCTACAGTAACTATAACAGGAAAACATTTGTATCTCATTTGTTTTCAGTTCTCTAATAATAGTGACACTTAGGTGGTTGCCATGTTGATTTAAATAGATATTTATTTACCATTCTTCATCTTTGTCAGTGTTTTTCAACTCCTGTTTGCCATTGAAGGGGTGCCGTCTGGACTCGCATTGCCCGCTATTCAGCTATTGCGAAAATCAGAAGTGTGAATGCAACAAGGGTTTTATTCAAGATACAAGTTAGTTTTGTCCTTTTTATTCTTTAATATTTGTTATGACTTGTTTCTGATCACCAAAGAACTTATTAAATATATGCAAAAGTATACTATAATTATATTTTACTATATACAATGTCTGTTAAATTAGTTAGATTAAACTAATGTGCCATATATGAATTTGAATAAAAAAACAATTCAACAATTTGAGCATTCCATCTGTAATAATATTTAACCTGTGCTCCATACCTTTTAGCAAATCTTTTTTATAGTTGATATATTAGTTAAGTTGGTCATACAACCAAAATATATGCAACCACAAAAATATAAAACCAGCAACAAACCAACATGTATTATTAGTATTGTTTCTATGTCTTATCTCCTATTTTGATCCATTTTTGTATTTTTTTTTCTAATGACAGGTGGATTATGCAAAGCAGATGGTAGTTATAATGGCAGCAGTGGTGTGTATGAAGACGAATCAAGTAAGCAAACATTGTTTGAGAAATGTTTTTTTCAAATGTTAACTAGTCTTGTGATGAAATAGACATAAGTTAAGAGTCTGTTGAATTACTATAGGTGGCAGTCAGCTGGATTAATATCAGAATTTATCCAGAATTTATACGGGTTCATGATGAAAATGCAAACATACTGAAATGTACATTCTTGTGATTGGCCAATTGACTTACTATACCACCATTACTTGTGACAGCTATGTTAAAACGTGTATTTTTTTTCTTTAATTAGATATCTGGATATGGATTGTCATAGGTGTCTGTTTCCTTCTGATTATTGTATTTGCTGTATTTTGTATTCTTATATTCCGGTATGTATATTTTTTTGTATCTGAAAGTAATAGTGATTTCCATATTATTATGTTTGACTTTAATTTCAGTGTTGTTAACTGCATAATTGGTTATTGAAAAAAAAAAACCGAAATGTATAATGTAAATACAGTATGTTAGAGTTTAAATTTGTAGTGTATAAATTGATTCTTTATAGCTAATGATTCAAATTATGGGTTGTAAAGATCACACATAAGCCAACTTTTATTAAATTCTACCCTTGTTTGGTCGAATCTTAACAAAGATATCAGATTGCAGGACTACAATTTAAAGGTTATTTGTACCATATGCATGGCATGTTGTATTTTTCATATTAATGTATCATTCATATTAGGATTCTTTTTTTTTTGGTTGAATATGAAGTTTCATCTTAAGAGATAGTAAACTGCTGAAGAAATTCTATTAATATATAACCTTTCAGTCTAAAGACTTAATGATGATTTTCTGTAATCATTTGATGAATCACAATGCCATTTTGAAGTGAATAGCTATTGTGAAGATTATGATTATTATGTGATTATATGATGTGATAACTATGTGGAGATTATAAGTGATCATTAAGTAATCATGTAGTGGTTATAGTATGTGTGATAATGTGATGATTAAGTGTGGAGTATATGATTATTATGTGATTATCAAATGATCATGTGTAGATAATATGATCATTCAGTGATTATCAAGTGATCATGAGTAGATTATGTGATCATTTGGTGATTATCAAGCGATCATATGTAGATTATATGATAATTTGGTGATTATCATATTATATGTGTAGATTTATATGATCATTTAGTGATTATCAAGTGATCATGTGTAGACTATATGATCATTTATGTGATTATCAATTCATGTGTAGATTATATGATCATTTAGTGATTATCAAGTGATCATGTGTAGATTATATGATCATTTGGTGATTATCAAGTGATCATGAGTAGATTATGTGATCATTTGGTAAATTATCAAGTGATCATTTGTAGATTATATGATCATTTAGTGATTATCATGTGATCATGTGTTGGGTAAGTATAGCAGGATCATTAAGTAATTATCAAGATATCATCTCATGGTTATGTGTGATTATGTATGTGATACCAAGTTATCATGAAGGAGGTTATGTGATTTTCAAGTGATCATGTTGTGATTATATATACAACTAAGTTTCATATGTGATCATTATGTTATTTCAAGTAATCATTTGTTATGTGTAGATTATTTGATCATTAAGTGATCATATGGTAGTTATGTGAACATTATATGATCATTATGAAATTATTAAATGATTATATAGTGGTTATGAGTAGATTATATGATCATTTAGTAAAAAATTATAGTATTAAAGAATGCAAGCATTTTCTACATTAATTTTGAAAGTTGAAATCTTTTGTTTTTAACAGACGTAATTTCATATCCAAATTCATAACAACGAAACATGTTTATTTGAATTGGATTGGATTTGTTAAAATATTATTTCAAATATAACATTCAATAAAAATACTTAATCAAAAACCAAAAAAGAAAAAAAAAATAGAAGCATTCATTCAAAATTCTAAAAAAAAAATAAAATATAAATATTATAATTTTAATTGGATTGATTGGTTTTGTTCAAATATTTTCTGAAATGTAAAATTCAATAAAAATACTTAATCAAGAACATAAAAAACTGGAAGCAAACTTCAAGATTATAAAAAATTAAATATAAATTATTAGAATTTTAAATAAAAATGTAGTAAAATGTAGTGTTTTACATTATTCTGAGTTTGTTTCAAAAGTTTTCAATATTTTCAAATTGAATCATTTAAAAATATGTATTTCACTGACTGATGTATATTTATAATCATTACTTACATTGTATGTTCTGTTTTTCTGTTGACTTGCTTATTAATAAATGAGATTGATCAATTAACGTCTAACTCATTTCAATATTTTCACACATCATAGCGTGACAAAGCGGTCAGCGGCAAGCTTCAAGAGGAGAATAGGTGCACATTACCGTATATCTTCTGCACTGCATTTTTCTCATCATCACAGATTTGTAACCATTAGCATAATAATCACAGCAACCCCTGTTATACCAAATGTTTTGATTTCTTGATTGAGGCACACTTTTTTATACAAGTGTAAATATACTGTATACTAATAAGCTTTTTTTCATGCACTTTTGTATTCATTAAACGTTTTGCAGAAGGTTTAATTTAAAGGCTTTTTATGTATTTTTGTATTAAATTTTTTTTAGCATATTACATTATCCTGCATGTTCCCTTAATTAGTTAAAACAAGGAGGTTTATACATGTTATCCTCCATGGTTAAGGTAACTTTTCACACATTTGTTTTGAGCCACATTCACAATCTTCAAACTGCGCATCTATCAGACTACTAAAGAAAACCGTAATCAGACTTTTTATTTGTTGTATGATGATCCATTTTGTGTACTACAAATATTAATTAACATGCATATATTTGGAAATGTGTGAATATAAATTTGATTTAACGCTGGTACCCATAATATCACTACATGGTATCGCAGTGGACCTATTAGTATAAGTCTTATTAATAGGTCCATGGTTTGCCAACAAGTGTTTGCAGTGCTTATTGGTTAGTCAAATCTGGGAGCATTACTGATTGCATCGGGAACAGCTTCAGAATGATTGCAGTGTAAATTCCGTAGCAATTTTACAGAAATCACGCTTTACGTTTATTGCAGCTCGATAGTACTAGTTAATTTATTTTGAATAAGATTTACCAGCCTATATTCAATATAATGTAGAATGTGTTGGGATTCTCTGACTGCATCAATTGATATCATGTACTCCAATATACTATGTTGCAAGCATCTGAACTTTCCTACTCATTTAAATCTTTGTTTTGTAATGAAAAAGGTGATTTAGTAAGAGTTATTTTGTTGATTTTCTTTTAGTTTTTTTAGAAATTTTTTTCCAAGTTATTATTTTTGTGGTTATATATTGAAAGTAAATAAGGTATGGAGCACCCTGCAATGTTTTGGTTTCTCATTCTGTAGAAGTGTCAAAATACCTCTGTTTTCTTGGTGTTTTTGTGTCAGTTTATGAAGCACAATTATTTAATTATTTAATATTTATAAAAAAAGAAAAACACTTCCATTTCTGCTACCATTTTATATCTGTAATAAGCGCCTACAAATTAACATTAATTAAATTATGCCGAAAATAATTTTTAGTTTGAAATTTAACAAAGCAGTAATTTGCATATAAATGGTTACCCACCCACCCTCTCTCCCAACTCTCCCCATTTCATATGTATTAATTATTACCAGTTGGTATATTCAAAACTAAGCTTTTATTTCTCTCCATTTATTATATTAATACATTTTGCGATGGGGAAAATTGAAAACTTCTTTTGAATATACTCACTTTCTTCTGTTTTCTTCAAGCAAAGTGGAAGAATCATTTGTATTGTCATACCTTACTGGAGCTTCCATATACTTCCTTTACTAATAAAGTAGGCCTACCTTAAAAATCACAGACATTTTGAGAGGCCCTATTGATCATTTCACTCATACCTTTGAGCTACAAATCTGACTGAATAAGATAAAGAAATGCAATTCATAGTTGTAACTACATAAAATTGTGAAAATTTGAAATTTGTCTATTTTCTTCCGCAGCAATCATCGAAGAAATGCTCTTATGAAGAAAGCCAAAGAGGCTGAGATTGCGGAGAAGGAGAAGATGGATGTCACAGCTTTGTAAAAAAGAGAACATAAAATTATATGGAATTTTATTGTAGCCAATAGCGGCATTTCTACATAAAGCCCTAAAATTCCTTGTATGGTATAGTAGGTGCATCTAGACACACGATCTGCCTCAAAACAAAAAGATCAATTTGAAAAGGTTCATGTATAATGAATTTAGACAAAGCAGAAATATTCCACACATGACCCTCTTATATAGAATGCAACAGTAATATAAAGATGCATGCCCAGCTAGGGAACAATCAAAATATTCTATTTGCAGTGGGGCAATGCAGTACTGTAGAACAATGCTCATTTTAACTGGTTACTTTCAAATTTACATTAAGCCATTTTCTGGCTGCTGGATGTTCTTGGAAATTTTCCCTCAGCTCTGAAAATTCATCTTGTTCCAATGCAGATTCTTGTTTTTATTGAATCAAGTGATACAAATGTAGCAGTCAGTTGAAAAAGATCACCAACTGCGATCCAAACGCCCAGATACGGGCTCCTTGAACTGATTTCTCCAAACTTCAGATTACCAATTTCAGTTTGGTGTTGTTGTCTACATTTATTTTTGAGTATGCTGCACTTGTGCAGATGTACTCTATGCTGTCTTGGTAGTGGAATTTTTCTGTAAAATGGAATGTGTTAAGATACATCATTTTATTTAACAGGCATGCCAAGTACAGTGTGAATGTAGTTTTATCAAGTTAGTAAATCGGTACTACATTTTGACAGATGACCAATGACTGACAGCACCTTGCCCAAGAATGGACTATGTTTAGAGAGTTTTACCCTAGTTTGTGCAAGTATACTCTTGCTGCTATCAGAAGCCTATTTATTTAAATAGTGTTGAACTTTCAATTGAGCATTAAGTGTTGATATGCATGCTGCGTTCCAGTCCTACTAAAGTGATTATTGTTGTTTTTTCTGCTGATGATAACCTACAAATACATAAAATAGAATATAAGTATAATAGTTAAAACTAACACAATATGATATTGGAACTTAAACTTTTTAATTTAAATTCTGAATTACTGATATTGTCTTTATAAATGTTGTAGGTATTCCAGGTAATGTTCTTTCACTTGGGAATACTTTTTCCAACTTTGTTTCAGCAATATGTGGTCACTCTAATGGTAGTCACTTTTACACTGGAGCGCAATATATACATTTTATAGTGTTTTGATTGACAATGTATATAAAACTCACATTTAAATGTTTGAAAGCAACAGAAAATATAGATTAATATTATCCACATATAAATAAAATTTTTTATCAGCTCTTTGTTTTATATATTTATCATATTATTGTAATTATAGACGTGTTAATAAATTTAGATGTATGATGATTTTTACTTTTGATAAATGATATTTTCTTAGTAAATTGTCAGAATATAAATTGATAGTTTTAGGTTATTATTTTTGTATGATGAAAAATTAATTTAGCAATGCTAGAGATAACTTTGAAACAGACCTAAACTGCCAAAGAACAAATATTTATAAGTCGAAGGAACAAATGAAGGCATGTTTAATCAAACAATTGTTTACTGAAATCATCAAATCTCTTAAATATTTCGTTAATGTAAAGCAATAATAAAGGGTTTTTATCGAAGGCATTCAGTTAAACCTGATTGGCGTTCTCAAAATTGTTGAAGAAAAGTCAACAAAACATATGAATAACAGATTAAATTATTTCAAAAAACGTATAACTAATGTCAACAGTGCTACACAGAATAAGGTGACGTCTAAATGAATGGCAATTTTGCGCAGAAAATGATGACGTCATAACTTAACTGAGTGCAATTGTGCACTTTCGTTGCTAATGAGGTGGCTATTTTTGTAGAAAGTTTTTAAATGAGTATCGAATCCAATCGTGAAGGTTAAATGTATTGTCTTCATACTAAAAAGGTTTGTGTTATTGATTGCATAATACAGGGTAATAGGCCTATGGCAGTGTATGATATATACTGGGTAACCTATTTATTGGTTTATTTCAAATTAATATTATATTTTTTATTGAAACAAGTTTCGCTATATTTGTGCCAATGTTTTTAATGTGAGCGACTCTGCTACATTCTGTGTGTATACTTTTCCACGAACAATAAGTTCAAATATTTTTATTGAGCAATTTTGTATGCTAATTTATACTTAAAATCACGAGATACTTTTAAAACCTAGTTACTACCGTAATTTAATTTGTTGTTTAACTATGCCTATTGAAAAATATGTGTTAATAGCAACCATAGTCGATCTCGAACTCTTCGTCTTCGTCTCGAACAGTTTCGAACATACATGTTTCCCTCCAATTAAAGACCCCTCCCATTAAAGACTACTTTTCTGTGATCACAAATTAACATTCTTTTATATTTATTATTCTAATTGGAGGCTGAAGACCATGAAAACCCCGGTCCAAAGGTGTTCCTTAATTGGAAGGAGACCTGTACTCGTATTTGAAACGTTCGATAAAGTTATATTTAGATATGATGTAATTGAAATAGTTGGTGAATACCCGCAATCGTCGTATAATCATAAAAATAAATTTTAGCAAATATGTGATATGCGATTAGAATATACGCGTAATTTTCCCGAAGTTTACAATGACAGATTATTTTTTTGGCAATAACTTTAGTAACAATTTTCTAAAACATCTAGGCCTACAGTATATATTGTTGTATTCATTGACAGGGTGCAAGTATTCCAAAATTGTAATTAATTGAATTGGATCATATTGAATAATCAATGTTAGGCCTCAATCGATGTAAAGACAAAACTTTACGTACGAATTTTCATAGCGTACGGTATTTTTCCTTATTTTAAACTATCATTTCCCACAAAAAAATTCGGAACGAACTATGCCCTTTTTATATTTCTTTGCCGATGCCATTGAAACCTGTTCGCAAATATTCATTTACGATTTGGAGGAAAGATGTAGAAAGATAGATGCGATATTTAAGCTTTCATTGGTCTATCAGTACTGTATTATAGGAATATGTAGGCCTATTAAATAGACAGTTTTCAAGACATTTTTCAATTTGATGCAATTTTTTCAAGTTTACTAATTATTTTATTGAATATTGACGAATGTTTTGGCGCCGTTTTAACTATATTTGCAATAGCCTAATTCCATAAACATGGGTGAAGATCAATTTCCTCTGTGTTGTAGCAAACTGTAAAACACGAATACAATGTCATTTTTTTTAAAATAAAGCATTACTTCATCTTTTAATAGTTTATTTTTATTTATGTTTGTTAGAGTGGTCAGATTTCATGTCATTAAACTATGTGATAATACACACCTGCCTAGTTTACATTATTGTCCTTTTATCTGTTATATTATCATATTTATCTTCATTCGTCATTGTTCGAAGAGTATATGCTAACGTGGTGTATCCGGGAAACAGTAGCCCTTTTAAGTAGCCACGTATTACATGAATTATCTGTTACAATATTATTTATAGGCCTATGGGTAAAAATGTCAATTCAGGTGATCAGAAATGATGCGGTCTACGCCGTGCGTGCATTCTGTGAGGCACAGTAAGCGCAAATAAATACGGCGTGTCATAATTATTCACGAGCATCGTATTTATTCAATTATTATAGTCTGAAATGATGACGTAGAATGGTGACAGAATAGGACTACTTTAATATAAGTGGGTAAAGTTCACTGTTTTGTAGACAATACCCAGTTTACCTAGCCGCACAACAGGAACCCTAAACAGGAGCTTGTACATTACTGTTTTAATCTACGTTTGTTTATGCAGATGAGTTTAGAACCCTTACCGATAAACTATAATAGCCAATCAAGGCATGTAACATTATAATTTATTGATATCAGACCCGGATTGGGCCTAGCAGCTGCCGTAGAAATAAGCGACACCAGTAGTCGTTGGGAAATATTTTATTTTGCTCAACTACTATTAGACATCGACCGTTGTTTTTTCTTCTCCTAATAGCTAGGCCTAAAAAAGCCTATGGTAACTTGAAAAACGATTGATGTTTTTGAAAATGTCGCTAGTATTTAAACTGACAGTTTTAGTAATAGTCTGTGGATTGACACATTCTAATGTCACAGATGTATATACAACTGAAAATACAACTGATATTGATGATGGCAATTCTACGGTAAGTTGATGATGTTAATACAGTATATTGAAACATCAGTTAATCAGCAACGAGGTATTCGTATTTGACAAATTTAATTGATATAGAAATGTATTTAATACCAATGTTTGTCCAATTGTTAGCTGGCCAATTAAGAACGTGCATTTCATTTTTATCAGTTTATTAAAGTGCCTACAGAAGACACCACCTGTATAACCAAGGAGGAACAAACTAATTCTTCCATGGTATAACTAAACACAACCATACGATCGAAACCCGATAATAAGCCTAATTAAAACATCTCGTCCATCATCGTCATAATCAATTATCATGTCACATCAGATTCATGTTCATTACCATAATCATCGTCATTATGATCACATAATGTCCTCCATTGTTAGCTGGCCATTTAAGAACATACATTTCATTTGTATCAGTTTACCAAAGTGCCTACAGGAGACACCTCCGGTCAGTTTAGCACTGTGCTTGACTATATTCACTTTGGCTAGAGTCAAGCATGCTAAAGAATGAGAAACAACCCCCCCCCCACAATAAAAAAAATTGTGGTAAAAATCAGTTTAGCAATAACTAAACACAACCTTACGATCGAAACCCGATAATAAGCCTAATTAAAATATCTCGTCCACTTCATAATCAATTATCATCAGTCACATAAGATAAATGTTCATTATCATAGTCATTGTAATCATCGTCATTATGATCATTAACATTATCACCGTCACAAGGTTCGTCATAATTGTCATCATGCTCATCATTATCATCGCCATTATCATCATCGTCATCAACATCCTTACCATCATCCTCAACGTACGGTACATTACCCTGATCATCATCCCTGTGCTCATCATCGATATGCGGTTTCCCTTTCAACTGGAAAGAAAACCCCATTCAAGTAAAACATTGAATTACTCATTTCAAAGGGTTAAAATAAGTAATGAAACAGAAATTAGAACAATTCGGGTTGTGCTAATCGTAGGCTTTCACAAAAATCGCAAGGGCTATAAAAACTCGTGCATTACATAACAAGAGAAGTGTTTGTTCATTTCAATTTTCAATTGTAAAAGGTCATTAATACATATGCCTATTATCATGCAAACTCAAAAAAAGGAAAGACTGGTACTAAAACGCCATTGTGATTCAGTATTTCGTCCTTTGTCAAAACATCTATTTGCTCAACACAGAGAGTATAGTGTGCCATAGGCCCTAATCCAAAATATAAACTAGCGTAAAGCCCTGTCCAGACTATCCTATTTGACAAAAAATAGTTGTATGCCCCTATATAGTCATGATGTGTCTATACATGGTCATGATGTGATGTCATCATGACCATATTTAGGCATGTCACATGTTTTTGCCAAACAAAATTTGATAGTGTACACAGGGTTTAATTCGAGCTATTAAGCTTTGATTCCATAAAGTCGCTACACGCTATCGTCGATGTATGGTTGGTGGATTGCGTCGGGGACGCAATAATCGCGATGCAAACACTGTAGCGACGGTGTAGCGATTTTATTGAAACTCAGATTTAACCCAATGCTAATGTTTGAATTTGGTGATTTTCAGGATGCACTCTCAAGGACAGACATCATCGCAATAACCGTTGGATGCTTCATGACTGCTGTTTTCATCGTGGTCATAATTTTAGATTTCACGTGTCGCGAATATGACAACACTGAAAAAAATGCCGTCATCTCAAGAAGTAAAAAAACCAATAATGGAGACGAGATTGGTGTAGTCCTACAGGATTTACCTTAGAGTGAAATCTGGAAAAGATCCTGCTTTTCAGGAGAATTTTGTATTTTGCCCATGTGTCAAGCAAAATAGTGCAATATTTACCAGGAATGCACATGGCCACAATCGGTCAAAACGTGCATCTATTAGGCCTACAGTAGACTACCTACCTACCTACCTACAGTAGACTTACTTGACGAGACACATTGTAGGCCTACTACTTCTCCAGTAATTTTGCTGGGATTTGCACATTGCCTGTGAGACGCCATATAAACTGAAATTGAGCAAGTCCAGTAATATTCGAAAATATGCAAATTAACTATAGCATAGACCGTCCGTAGTACAACTAGAATACCGTATGTTTTGTAGTGAGCCTATTGCTGCAAAACACATTCAACACAAGAAACTGAAAATCACATAGAATTTTACATTTGTATGTGATATATTTTAAAATGTATTTATGTATATTGTATTTAACTAGGAACCTATAAAAATCCACATCCGAGAGATCTGTTTAAGTGAGTTTTCTTATGACATCTAAATATTTTGCTGTGCGTGGTAATAATCATTATGATTGACAGTAACTGCTGGGAGACAATTGATAATACAGTATAAAACTTGTAAAAGCATGCAAATATCATCATGAATTTGCGGGAGATGTTTTATTTCGGAAGATTTGTGCTTGCTTGCGGACCAGAATGCGTTCTTCATGCCAATTTCCAGGAGACCCAATTCCTGGACTCTACAGGATACTTGGGACTCCTGGGCACTAAATGTGGTCTTTAGATTTTTCTATTTAGAGGGAAATTAAAAATAATAGGCCTAAATTAAATGTTTTAAAATGGTTTTACAGTAACTGCATGCTCTTATTTAATCTTAAATAAACATTTCTTAGTAGCCAGACATCAACTTTTCTTCCCATTACAATATTACTAACATAGCCACTAACCTTATCGTCATTCAATATACAAAACACTGTACACAAACAGTGCATTGGCTATTTCTACGTGTAAGTCATATATAACATAACTTATTGTAGAAAACTGCATTAAAATTACTATTTATTTCATAGTGGTCTGTAGCATGGAGGGGAAAGTATCAGTTGGGTTCACCAAACTCATGGTCTCTAAATTAAGGGAATCTTTAATTGGACGGAACAGCTAATGATAAAAGATAGCCGTCGCAGAATGTGGTTTTTAATTGTAAGTGGTCTTGAGCGGCGTAGCTGGGTGCGAAAGGGTCCCAGTGCAAGGTTAATTGCCGGGCCCTTTGATGTGATACGGGAAATTTCCTAAAGTTCTCAGAAAATTCATAGTAAGAATTGCTTCTTTTACTCCCTACTAGGCTATAGTAACTATTTTAGGGCATAGGCCTATTCGGTCTCAGCAGCTGTTCTAAACTAAATCAAGAAAATTGATGTCACACAAAATTTAACAATTGCAATGGCGGGTCAGGGAATAAGGAGGGGGTAAGGCCACATCAGCTCCCCCATGGCTGGAAATGTATGATTATAGCCGGAAATGGCACTTTCAGACTTATATTTTAATATAATTTCCCCTTTTCTCCATTTTTCCCCCTTTTAGGGGAAAAAAACTACAATTCGTCGGTGAGAAAAAAAATGTAAGTGTATGTTTTACATATTAGTAGCCCCTAAAACTGATTAATAAAGCTGTCGAAACACCTAAATTGTCATTTTCGGGGAACACTATCGAGAGATTTCGAGGGATGCCCAACCACACCCACTTTCTTTCGTTAGAGACATCAACGAATGTAGTCCTGTAAATAAATGAATAAAGAAATTGTGTAATAAAATGCTTCTGATACAACACTCCATTACACAATAATTATGGCAGAAACAAATAGTTGCATAGGCCTATTATAATATAAATCAAGATAGCCATTAACACTGATAAATTATATAATAAACATCAAAGAAAAGTAAATACAGTGTTAGAATAAAGGACATAATAATACATCTTGTAGCATAGCTCTCAACGAATGTAGTCCTGTAAGTAAATGAATAAAGAAATTGTGTAATAAAATGCCTCTGGCGGGAATCGAACCTGCGACCGCCATTAGACCACGGAGGTTTCATGGTTATCTTATACACATCTTATGTTTTTTGTTCAGAAAACCATGCATGGAGCTAAACAATAATAAAGTAGCCCTTTGATGTGAAGTGTCAAGCGAGGCCCGTAATCTGAGTTAAGTATTTTTTAGTCTTGATAAATTATTGCAAAGTCGTTTGCCTAATTTATGTCGCTTACATAGTAGCACCAATGGCAAAGTACAACAGGTCACTTGTTACGGTTATAAAACAGTTTATCTGTCGTAGTGTTTAGAAAGGAATCAGGGCATCAGTAGCGGCACCAGAGGCTCTCCGATGAGAGGTCCAAGGTTCCCGAAAGAGGATATTATACGTATAATATTTCGGTATCTAAAAACATCAAATCTGTACATAAAACAACAAATTGCAGTATAAACAATTGAATTTTGAGTAATTAGTAAGTTAAATAATTAAAATTGTACAGCATAAGTAGAAAAGGTAAAATTTGAAATATACAAATACAACAAAAATAGAAAATTATAATTATTCGAGAGGTGTAATTACAAAAATTGTTATCAGAATTGGAAATGATTGGATATTGCATAAAAACGATTTCAGAGGCTGACCTTCAGCCGACAGACTCCTACTAAGTGAATGGGATTTTTTGTAAGTAAGAATTTGGTGTATAGCAGTTATCTGCTGGCTGACAGAGCCTTCTGTCCAAGCTGAGCCAGGGTGGCATCGTATGAAACAAATCCATCAAACCCAAGTGCATTTACACGCCCTTTTTGATTGGGCTTGCATATTCAAGAATGGGTCTTATATAAATTTTGAGAGCCATGGTAGGGTTATCTTGTGGTAAGTAAGGTATCAGGTACCCAGAAATGCCACTTTTAACGCAGCGTTCTCCGCCGAAATGATTGGCTTCTTTCCGGCGAAGGTCCCCTGGTGCGAATGTGGGGGAGGTGGAAGGGGAGGGGTGCCTGTCCGTGCATTTCATAGTGTGCATGCTGTGCAATAATATTTTATCACATAGGCCTACACTGTTTTTGTTTTCTATTAACTCTCATCATTTTGTTAATTGAAAGTTTACTCATTGTCGTGCTAAGCGGCTTGCGATAGGCCCTAAACCACATATAAATATAAATATAGATAATATTACAGTGTATATGTATATGGTTAGATTTAGGACAGTAACATCAAATAAGAATTTGGAATTGGTTTTAAGACTGATGTAACAACAGCCACTGCTTTCCAAATAACTATATTAGGCCTATAGTCATTCGTACACTCCTAATTGTTTACATTATTTTTGACCCTTTCATTTGTTTTCGCAATTTGGTAATGCCGTCGGTTGTTAATGATAATCGTATTGGTACAGTATGTATTATGTTAGCATTTCATCCCTCTTCCAAAGTTATTTGATATTTCCTGAAGACAGTGAAATAAAATAAAACTTACTATGCAAGTATTGAGTATTATGATGTAATGTTGTGTACATGAATACGAATCCGTTTTATTGTTTCTATTTAAAATACGGCTATTTATAGCGAATGTCAAATACCGATGATTTTTAACTATTAAGTAATGCCTGTTTATTTGCCTTGGTTTAAACATGGAGAAAATCCATTACATTTAAATAAAATACGGTTTTTGTGCCTCGGGGGCTAGACAATATGTTATCGTCTAGCAGTTAATCATGTAAGATGGTAAGATCGAGTAATCCGGTATGGAGGAATGATCGGATGATTTATGAGCTAAAGATAAAAATGAATATTAATACATATCCTAGAAAATTAACTAAAAAGTCACTAAACACCACACATTTCCTGATAACCGAATGCCCATGTGTATACTTTATTATTAAACATAATACCTGTAAAATAAGGCAGTATAGCACATATACACACGCTTCTGTTGGGAGTCTATTTTATACATTTGTCGCACTATTAAGTAAAATTGCTGAGCTTATTCGCCAATCGTTGGAAGGATGGTAGGCCCAACAGTATTTGTTTTAGTTTGGCTAACCAAGCGGAACGATTATTGATCCTTGAACCATAAACAGTGGCTGCAGTACACTCTATTGAAAAGATTACAATACATCCGACATTGACAGTATATTAATCATATGACCTCATCATTGCTTTGCTCACAAGTTGAATGCAACATGCCATTAAATTTACTAAAATACTGTACTTTGTGACAAGTAACCAATGATATCATTAACATTATAACGAAAATGTAAGTATCAGCTTCTACTTTATTATTGTTTAGCTCCATGCATGGTCTTCTGACCGAGAAGCAGTTTCTACCACTTGACTCTGAACTTCTAGGCCTGCACTGACCGCTAGGTAAACGCTTTGTTGCGTCCATAGAGCAAAGAATTATTTGCTCTCCACACTTTGACAATACAGCAATCTGCTGGTGATATTTGCAACATTATACCTATATATGTATATATATA